GAAGCTCTATTCTGGAGCTGCTCAGCCCCTGAAGCAATGTCGGGGGTGGCAGGGGAGCGGTACTGGTGCCTGGGGGTAGGAAAGAGCTGTTCCCCACCTCCTGGCTCCTGTGCCTGTCTCCACTGCCTGAGCCAGTGGGCCAGTCACACAGGTATAAGTTTTTGTCTCAGAGCAGCCGGATATGGATTCCTGCTCTCCACCTGCAGCCGGAATCCCAGTCTCCCCAGGAACTCTGTCTGTAATTAACTTTCCAACCCGGTAGTCATGCGAGTCTAATGAAAGCACCATGAAATGTAGGTTTGTGCTGCTCCCAGAGCAGATCTCTGGAGAAAGGTATTCAGCAGTCCCAAGCCTTCCACTGCCTCCCTGCTCCGTTTCTCTTCCTCCCGCCGGTGAGCTGGGGTGGGGGAGGGGCTCTGGTACGTTACCCTGTTCTCTGAGGTCTGCTCATTTCTCCAGGTGTGTGCAATCTGACGCCGTCCTCTTTCCTGTTGCTCTCTCCGTATTAGTTGTGCCAATTAAATTTTCTAATTGTATCCAGTTTTAGGAGGAAGCCTCTCTCTCCTCTCATGCCCCCATCTTTAATCCCATCTCTTTGGGTTTTTTTTATGTACAATATCATGTCATCCGCATCAGGGACAGTTTAACTTCTTCCTTGACAATCTGAATGCCTTTTATTTCTTTGTGTTGTCTGATTGCTGTGACTAGGACCTCCATAACTATGTTGAATAAAAGTGGGGAAAGTGGGCACCCTTGTCTTATTCCCAATCTTAAAGGAAAAGCTTTCAGCTTCTCGCTGTTAAGTATAATGTTGGCTTTTTGTTTGTCATATATGGGCTTTCTTATGTTGAGGTACTTGCCCTCTATACCATTTTGTTGAGAGTTTTTATCATGAATGGATGTTGAATTTAGTCAAAAGCTTTTTCAACATCTATGGAGATGATCATGTGGTTTTTGTCTTTCTTTTTGTTGATGTGGTGGATGATGTTGATGGAATTTTGAATGTTGCACCATCTTTGCATCCCTGGAATAAATCCTCCTTGATCATGATGGATGATCTTTTTGATGTATTTTTGAATTTGGTTTGCTAATATTTTGTTGAGTATTTTTGCATCTATGTTCATCAGCGATATTGGTCTTTAATTTTCTTTTTTTGTGGTGTCATTGCTTGGTTTTGGTAGTAGAGTGATGCTGGCCTCATAGAATGAGTTTGTGAGTATTCCCTCCTCTTCTACTTTTTGAAAAACTTTAAGGAGAATGGATATTAGATCTTCACTAAATGTTTGATAAAATTCAGCAGTGAAACCATCTAGTCCAGGAATTTTGTTTTTAGGTAGTTTTTCGATTACCAGATCAATTTCCTTGCTGGTAATTGGTCTATTCAGATTTTCTGTTTCTTCCTGGGTCAAACTTGGGAAGTTGTATTTTTCTAGAAAGTTGTCCATTTCTCCTATGTTATCCAGTTTGTTAGCACATCATTTTTCATAGTTTTCTCTCATAATTATTTGTATTTCTATGGTGTCCATAGTGATTTTTCCTTTCTCATTTCTGATTCTATTTATGTGTGTAGACTCTTTTTTTCTTGACAAGTCTCGTGAGGGGTTTATCTGTTTAGTTTATTTTCTCGAAGAACCAGCTTCTGCTTTCATCGATTCTTTCTATTGTTTTATTTTCTTGATATTTTTATTTCTGCTCTAATATTTTTTATGTCCCTCCTTCTTCTGACATTGGGCCTCATCTGTTCTTCTTTTTCTAGTTTCATTAATTGTGAGTTTAGACTGTTCATATGAGATTATTCTTCTTTCCTGAGGTAGGCCTGTATTGCAATATACTTCTCTCTTAGCATGGCCTTTGCTGCATCCCACAGATTTTGCAGTGTTGAATTATTGTTGTGATTTGTCTCCATATAATGCTTGATCTCTGCTTTTACTTGGTCATTGATCCATTGATTATTTAGGAGCACGTTATTAAGCTTCCATGTGTTTCTGGGATTTTCATTTTCTTTGTGTAATTTATTTCTAGTTTCATACCTTTGTGGTCTGAGAAGCTAGTTGGTACAATTTCAGTCTTTTTAAATTTACTGAGGCTCTTCTTGTGGCCTAGTATATGATCTATTCTTGAAAATGTTTCATGTGCACTTGAGAAGAATGTGTATCCTCTTGCTTTTAGTTGGAGTGTTCTGTAGATGTCTGTTAGGTCCATCTGTTCTAATGCATTGTTTGGTGCCTCTGTCTCCTTACTTATTTTCTGTCTGGTTGATTTGTCCTTTGGAGTGAGTGGTGTGTTGAAGTCTCCTAAAATGAATACATTGCGTACTATTTCCCCCTGTAATTCTGTTAGTATTTGTTTCACATATGTAGGTGATCCTGTGTTGGTTGCATAGCTGTTTATAATAGGTATATCCTCTTGTTGGACTGACCCCTTTATCATTATGTCTCTTGTTACTTTCTTTGTTTTGAAATCTATTTTGTCTGATACAAGTACTGCAACTTCTGCTTTTTCCTCCATATTGGTTGCATGAAAATTTTTTCCATCCCTTTGCTTTCAGTCTGTGTATGTCTTTGGGTTTGAAGTGAGTCTCTTGTAGGCAGCTTATAGAGAGGTCTTTTTTTTTTTATCCATTCATGGACTCTGTGTCTTTTGATTGGTGCACTCAGATCATTTACATTTAGGGTGATTATCGATAGGTGTGTATTTATTGCGATTTTAGGCTTTAGATTTTTGGTTACCAAAGGTTCAAGGATAATTCCCTTACTATCTAACAGTCTAATTTAACTCACTTTGTATGCTATTACAAACACAACCTAAAGGTTCTTCTTTTTCCTCCTTTTTCTTCCTCCTCCATTCTTTATATGTTAGTTATCATATTCTGTACTCTTTGTCTATTCCTTGATTGACTTTGGGGGTATTTGATTTGATTTTGCATCTGCTTAGTAATTAATTGTTTACTTTCTTTATTGTGGTTTTATTTCCTCTGGTGACAGCTATTTAGCCTTAGGAACACTTCTGTCTCTAGCAGTTGCTCCAAAATGCACTGTGGAGGTGACTTGTGGAAGGTAAACTCCCCCAGCTTTTGCTTATCTGAAAATTGTTTAATCCCTCCTTCAAATTTAAATGATAATCTTGCTGGGTAGAGTATTCTTGGTTCAAGGCCCTTCTATTCATTGAAATAAATATATCATGCCACTCCCTTCTGGCCTGTAAGTTTTCTATTGAGAAGTCTAATGATAGCCTCATGGGTTTTCCTTTGTATGTAATCTTTTTTCTCTCTCTAGCTGCTTTTAATAGTCTGCCCTTATCCTTGATCTTTGCCATTTTAATTATTATATGTCTTGGTGTTGTCTTCCTTGGGTCCCTTGTGTTGGGAGATCTGTGCATCTCCATGGCCTGAGAAACTATCTCCTTCCCCAGATTGGGGAAGTTTTCAGCAATTACCTCCTCAGAGACACTTTTTCTCTCTCTTCTTTTTCTGGTACCCCTATAATGTGAATATTGTTCCATTTGGATTGGTCACACAGTTCTCTCAATATTCTTTCATTCTTAGAGATTTTTTCTCTCTGTGCCTCAGCTTCTTTGTATTCCTCTTCTCTAATTTCTATTCCATTTACCATCTCTTCTACTACACCTAACCTGCTTTTAACCCTCCATTGTATGTTTCATTTCAGATATGGAATTTCTTAATGATTGAATCTCTGTCCTAAATTTGTCCTTGACTTCTTGAATATTTTTCTGTACCTCCATGAGCATGTTTATGATTTGTTTTTTGAATTCTCTTTCAAGAAGATTGGTGAGTTCAGTTTCATTTTCCCCTTTTTCTGGTGTTTGTGAGATTTTTGTTTCAACCAGGTTCCTTTGATGTTTCATATTTGTATGTGGCCCCCTCTGGTGTCCAGAAAGTCTGGTCTCTGGAGCTTCTCAGCCCCTGGAGTGATGTCGGGGGTTGCAGGGGAGCAGCACTGGTGCCTGGGAGGAGGAGAGAGCTTTTTCATGCTTCCTGGCTGCAGTACCTGTCTCCACTTTCAGAACTGGTGGCAGAGCACACAGGTGTAGGCTTCTCTGCTTTGCGTCTGTAGCTGCCATAGGTGGGGCCTCCCTCTGGCTGGCCTGATGCCACGGCAGGGACTGCCATTTTGGAAGCCAGTGCCAGCAGGCCAGGAGGAAAGTACAGCAGAGTTTATATCACAGTGGGGGGGCCTCGGAGCTAAGTAGCTAGCCAGGGGGATGGAGTGCCTGAAGCTCTTGAAAGTTCCCAACCTGCTGGGTAGAGCACACCCAGACAACCTTGTCTACCTATCCCTTCTCCTGCGCAACAAGCTCTGTACAAACATCGCCCCTTCAGCAGACCTTTCGCTGCTAGGAAGCCTCTCAAACTGCCCTCCTTTCCTTTGTCTCAGAGCAGCCAGATGTGGATCCGTGTCCTCCACACATGACTGGAATCTCAGTCTGTCCAAGTTTCCACCTCTTTTAGCTTTCCAACCTCATTGATCTCCAGAGCACCATGCAATGTAGGTTTGTTACCAAAGCAGATCTCCAGGTCTGGGTGTTCAGCCGTCCTAGGCTTCCACCCCCTGCCAGCTCCATTTCTTTTTCTCCTGTGGTGAGCTGGAGGGGGGAGAAAGGGCCTGGGTTCTGCCAGATCAAGGTTTTAGTACATTACCCTGTTTTGTGAAGTCTGCTCTGTTCTCCAGGTGTATGCAGTCTGGCACAGCCTTCTTTCCTGTTGCTCTTTTAGGATTAGTTATATTAACTATATTTTCATATTATATGTGGTTTTGGTTGGAGTTCTCTGTCTCACCTCTCATGCTGCCATCTTGAATCCTCCCTCCAGCTTTATGTTTTTAATGTCTAGAGCTTTCTAGGTTCCTGGTTCAGTATGGAGGTGGTTTATTACCACATATAAGGAAAAGTTAATGTTGTGAAAGCTACTTGAATAACAACTGTTGTGTCTACTTTCTTTCTCCTATAGATTCTAAAGTCTGTTTGTATTTTTCTGTTTGCAGATTTAACCCAGAAACTGACTTCATTATAGAAATACCCACAGTTATATCAATGTTTGGGGAAAGGTAGTGGCAACAGGCGAAGGAAACACAGCTCTGACATCCTAGGGACAATGAGCCTGTTAAAGCCAAGTGGGCTGAAGGCCCCCACCAGGATCCTGAAGCCTGGAAGCACAGCCTTGAAGACCCCCGCTGCTGGTAATGCTTTATGTTTTTCCTTAATAGCAGATACTTCAATCACAAATCCTAAATGAAGGATTCAACTTGAAATTTTCAAACAGACAATCTTAAAAAAGTTCACATTCTGAAAAATATTTGGAAAAGTTTTAATTAAGAGGTAGAATTCTGTATCTTAAAGTCTTACTCAAATGAGAGTTTACTTTTTTTTATAGGCTATCTTCTTTACCTCATTGATATTGTGTAAGGTGCTAAAATAGTTGTCAAGTAATTCACTATTTGATCCTTACAATGTTAAGGTTTTTCTGTTGTTTTTCTCCCCATGTGTCTTCCTGAGCCCATCTGGACCTTTCTTCTTGGGGTTTAGGAATGTGCAGAGAAAAACAGAGACTAGTCTGGCTTCAAAGATTTGATGATGCTAACTGGTCTGAAGTTGGCCATGGCGTCAGTGGAGCAGGCAGTACAGTGGCCTGAGTCTGGCTCATGAGGGAAACCTTTCCCCCCATTTTATAGATGAATCCATGTCCTTGATTATCTTCAGCAACCTGTTCTTATCTGTTCTCCATCTCCTCATCCACTTCCAATTTACATACCATAATGATACTAAAGTCTTCAAGAGAGACAGGAAAGAGGGCATCTGGTACTTGCTTTTATGGTCTTTTAATGTGACCTATACGGTATTAGATATCTGATGTCAGGCATCCACCATAAAATATTAAGTCCAATGTTATTTTTTCAAGTTCTTTCATAAACACATTCATTGATCTTCCAGGAGAGCAGAGATCTTTGTGCTTTTTTTCTCTGTTGGATCCCACCCACTACCTAGAACGTTGCATGACACATAACAGGAGCTCAGTAAATATTTGTTGACTGAGTGAAGAGCCCAAGTTATTTACATTTCATGTATCAAGACATTTTATGTTTTTATCAGAGAGCCATAGTAGATCTTAGATGAAAGGAGAGCATTATTGGTAAAGCCAAGGATTGTGATGAAATTGATTTATTTCAGGGCTGGTTAGTTTTGGGGTAATCAGTCAAAATTGGCATCCCCTATTCTTCCACTCAAAGTCCTTCCTCTTTTTATGATCCCTTCAAATGCCAGCCCTTCCATGAAGGCTTCCACTGTTATGTGCACCCCTATTTTAGAATTGACTTGTTCACTTCTAACATTTTTCATGCATGCTCCAGGGATCATGAGTGACTCAACTTAGTTTCCCCAATAGTACTTGGCAAAGAAATAATTGCCAATTCAAGCATTTTTTCGGAAATTCATGCTTGTAGCACCCTGTGAAGAGTTGTTGATGTGCAAAGCTAGAACAAACTCTAAAAAACTGACTAGGCTGGGCCATCTTATTACCTGTTCTGAGAGCATCTACTCTCTTCTAAAAGAAAAAAAAAACCCTCTACAAATTGAACTCCACAGTCTCCCTTTCTATGTAGGGTAAAAATGTTCAGCACCCGTTCGAGGCTTTCAAGACTACTCTGCTCCCAAAACTGAAGGAACAAAACAGCAACAGACTCACAGACTCCAAGAAGGGACTAGCGGTTACCAAAGGGGAGGGGGGGTGGAGGGCAGGTGGGGAGGGAGGGAGAAGGGGATTGAGGGGTATTATGATTGGCACACATGGTGTGTGTGGGGGATCATGGGGAAGACAGTGTAGCACAGAGAAGGCAAATAGTGACACTGTGGCATCTTATTACACTGATGGGCAGTGACTGCAGTGGGGCATGGGGGAGACACAATAATATGGGTGAATGTATTAACCATATTGTTTTTTCATGTGAAACCTTCTAAAGAATGTATATTAATAATACCTTAATAAAAAAAAAAAGACTACTCTGCACCCCAGTCTTTGCATGGTTCACACTTTTTGTTGATCGGGCTTCAGGCCAGATGTTACCTTCAGGAGTCGTTCCCTCATTGCTCTGTCCAAAGGCACTGCCTTCTCCACAGCATTTAGACCACCTGAAGTTACTTGGTATGTCTCTTGACTGCCCACCTCCTCACTTCTAGACTCAGCTCTATGAGGGTGTGGACTGTGCTCTCTTGCTTTGTCCACTGGTGGAAAATAATGCCTGAAACTAGTCCTGGGTGGTAGGAACTAAAAAAGGGGGGAGCATGAGTAAATACATTATTTCATGTAATCCTCATTTTAAAAAAACAAGGGACATTACTTTTCCTTTAGAGATGAAGAAATTGAACTCAGAGAGATTGAGTTAACGTCTTAAGGTCATGATATGCCTAGTAAATGGTAGTATGATTAAAAATGTGGATTTGCTTTGAGAACTCATTCCAAATATTTAATAAATCCTTGCTTGATAAATGCATGAATGCATTTCCAGTGTTAAGCTCACATTTCTGGCAAAATTTAACTTCTGTCTTTCGCATAGGGTAGAGATCGCACAAAGTTGCCTTGCCTTAACAGGGAGTTTGGCCAGATGCTCTTTTTTTCCTTGCTTTATTTCCGTCTCTGCTAGCAAAGGCATAGGGTTCATTGGTAGTTTTGGAGTAATGATGGTAGGGAATGCAGCTTTGGATCCCCTCCTTCATCAAGCCTAATTGTGAATCTCTGTGGTTAAACAGTCTTGATCTTCTCAGTTTTCACTAACAACTCAAATGTGGGAAGAGAGTCCACCTCAGGAGATCTGAATGGGTATTTACTCATGATGTGCAGGGTGGCAGGTGGCATGAAGGATGAAATCTGACCTATATAATGAATTCTGGAAAAAGGACTAATACTTTTTTCTTGTTTTGACTTCTTCCAATCTTAATTGCAAATAAAGATTGAATCTCACCAGCTCACTGAGTTTCAACAGCATTGAAAATGGTGGTGATGGATCAAGTATTTTTGCCTCCTTGTTAAAAAAAGAAGAAAAAAGAAAGAACAAAAGATAAACAGAACACCTTTAGAATAGTTGTGGCTATTCCTGTTGCTTTTGGCTTTCTCTAGTTTATTTTCCTTCAAGTTAGGAGTTGTCTGCTTGAATATGACACTGAATTTTATCTCATCCTTTTTTCTGTTTTTTCTTGCAGCTCCAGTAGAAAAAACAATATCCAGTGAGAAAGCATCAAGCACTCCAACCTCTGAGACACAAGAAGAATTTGTGGATGACTTTCATGTTGGGGAGAGAGTTTGGGTAAACGGGAATAAGCCTGGATTTATCCAATTTCTGGGAGAAACCCAGTTTGCACCAGGCCAGTGGGCTGGGATTGTTTTAGATGAACCCATAGGCAAGAATGATGGTTCAGTGGCAGGAGTCCGGTATTTCCAGTGTGAGCCTTTAAAAGGCATATTCACCCGACCTTCAAAGTTGACAAGGAAGGTTCAAGCAGCAGATGAAGCTAACGGCCTGCAGACGACTCATGCTTCCAGAGCCACTTCACCTCTGTCCACTTCTGTGGCCAGCATGGTGTCATCCTCCCCAGCCACCTCCTCAAATGTCCCCCATAAATCATCCCAGCCAACAGCAAAGGAACCTTCAGCTACATCACAGATCAGCAACCTTACAAAAACTGCCAGTGAATCTATCTCCAACCTCTCCGAGGCTGGCTCAATCAAGAAAGGGGAAAGAGAGCTCAAAATTGGAGACAGAGTATTGGTGAGTCCAGAGATCTCCTAAGGTCATGGTGTTGAACTGAGATATAATCACTGATGAATGGTTGAAGGGCACATAAACAGGCTCAGAGTCAATTCTGGAGTGATGGATCAGTCATTTATAGAGAACTTAACCAGCTTTTCTAGTTGGTCAGTTTATGTGTAAACATGCAATTAGAAACTGGCTGTGGAGTTTGAGCACAGTATGAGCATAGGTTTGCAATGATAGCTTCCAGTTTTATCTACCAGTTTAACCAAAAGAATGTTGAGTTTACAACTTGTAAATATTAAGGTAACTTTACTTGACAAAACAATCTCTGAATTGGACTTAGACATGTTTATAAATTTTTTCCCATGGTTTTTAATTAATTTTTGCTTTAAGGATAGTGTGTAGGTTTTATAAGATCCTGCTTCCTTAAATGTCTTGGAAAACTCAGACATCATGGGATGTTATTTCAGAATTTCTGTGATTTTTAAATGATGAGGTTTAGATGTAGGAAGAGGAAGGAAATGTACAAGTTTCTGTTTTACTAATAAGCAAGAAACACTACTTGGAAGGCCCACATGCTCTATATTCTAGAACCCCTGATTTTGTGACACAATGATTGATTTCTTCTTTGTTTTAAACAAGGGACACCATAGCAGTACTAAAAACACAAGCTGAGTCCAGCTTTGCCTTTGTGACCTCAGCAAGTTATTTAACTTCTTAGGTTCCTCATCTGTAAAAATGAGGTGATAAGAGAACTAACCTCATAGCATTGTTGTGAGGATTAAATTAGATAATGCATGTTAAATTTTGAGCAGTGCCTGGTACACAGCAAACACTCAAGAAATAGTAGCTACTGTTCTCGCTGGTGACAATTTAAAGCTTTATTATTTCACCCTTTCAACACATCAGTCAGTGTAGTTTAAGGCATGAAATTTGTCGGGAACCTTTAACCCTCTTCTTTTGGTTTCCTTATATCTATTCAGCTGTAAAATTCCATCAGGCTTGATGGCTTACAACAATATACAGGGCCTTCTGGATTCATGATGCTACAGGACTAGGAGACAGAAGTCCTGGCTTCTAACTCTATAAAGTCTGCCATGAACAACATGGGGGTTGGGGCACTGACGCCCCTTACCCTTCTCTTGCAGCTGAAAATCTAGACTCCTAATAGGCTATAACTAGACTCCTAATAGCCTACTGTTGACTAGAAGCCTTACCAATAACAGAAACAGTTGATTGACACATATTTTGTATGTTCTAGGTATTACATGCTGTATTCTTAAAATGAAGTAAGCTAGAGGGCAAAAAATGTTTTTTTCACATTTTTGTAAATCACCAAAAAATTTTCCAATGTATTTATTGAAAAAAATGTGTATAAGTGGGCCCATGCAGTTCAAACCCATGTTGTTCGAGGGTCAGCTATAATAGGAAAACACAAGTAGCTCTCAGCCCTTAGAGTGTGCCATGTGTCTCATGCCGTGCTCCAACAATGTCCTGGGGTATATACCCTATGGAACTGGTGAGAAGCGAAGGGCTTCCAACCTGATGAGTGGTGTACCTGCAATTTAAGTTTAGGTGTTTTTACTCCAGAACCTGTTGTGTAGATCTTATGATTGATAGTTTGATTATAAAATTGGAAGTATTCTTTGTGATTTGGTTGTCTTGCAGATAAGGAAACTTAAGCCCAGAGAAATGAAGTGACTTCATGGCAGACTTTAGAGTTAGAAGCCAGGACTTCTGTCTCCCAATCCTGTAGCATCATGAATCCAGGAGGCCCAATATACCTGTGGGTGCCCTTTAATACCTGTTACCTTCAAGGGGTTCCTTCTGGATCCCTTAGTTTCAAGGTTAGTAGGTTCCCTCTTCCAATAATCATGAATTTCAAAGGCCACGGCTTTGAAAGCTGGAGTGTTCTAAAGAGCATTTCACTGCTATGCAGTTCAGCCCGTATCTTGTTTGTTCTGCTCATATTTACTTGCTATACCAGTTTTGAATGTGGCACAACTGCTCTTTTGTTCCAATAAGGGTTTTCTGATGCTTACCTTATTTTTCTCATTTTTGTGGTATATTGCTGCCATGAACGCCCTTAACATTTTTTTGTATGTGTATGTATATCTTAACCTTCATAGAAAAAATTCATAGAGGTGGAGTTACTTGGGCAAAGGGTATAGACACTTAATAAGGCTTGGTATATACTTACCTCGTAAGCTTTGGTTAGATGAGAAACTTGTTACCTTCATTCAGGAATGCTTTGTGGAGTAGACTGCATGCAATGCCATTGTAAGTGCTTAGCTGTAAACAACTTTCTTTCCCATTCGAGAAAGCACATGGCATACTTTCTAAACAGAAAGCAATCCATTCCCACCAACCAAAGTGAGAAACAGTTAAGTAGTGTGCTGCTTGATTGCTAAACAGACAAAATGGCTAAAGTTGGCATGTTCAGCTCTTAATGAAAGTCTTCCATGAGGACGTCATGATTAAAGTGGACCTTGACTAGGAATTGGCCAGGTGGAAGCCAGTGGTGGTGGAGAGAGGGAATGTTCTAGCTGAAGGAAGCAAGCTCCCTGAGATGGAAAGGAGTTGGCACCTCTGAGGAAGGTGCGTGAGGCTGTGGAAGATATGACATGTTTGTGAGGCAGGGTCTGCAGGCACTCCTGACCTGGGGCCTGTAAGGACCAATTGTGTTAAGGATTTTAATTTTTTACCTTGAGAGCGCTGGGAGTGATGTGATTGAATTGGTAGCTTGGAAATAACACTCTGGCTGCTTTGTAAAGAATGGGTCAGAGGAGGATGAGAGTGGCTCTGGGGAGACTGTTCTTTGAAGAAGTTGGTTGTTGAAGGAAAGCACAGCAGTCAGGCCAACACTGGAAGAGTTGGATCTAAGGAAGATTTTATTTTTTTAAAGATGGCAGAGTCCAGAGTATTTATATCCTGACTCAAATGACCTGGACTAGAGGAACAGGGGAAGATACAGTAGAGAGAGGGGAGCAGCGATGGAATGAGGTTCCTGGGAGTTGTTGGCACCACGAGTGCACAGGAGGTTGACTGGCCTTTGATTGAAGAGGGAGGGAGACTACATCTTCAACGGAATATGGATGGAGAATCTGCAGATGCAGGTTGGTTTGCAGAGGCTTGAATGACATATTTCTAGGAAAATCCTAATTACATGTTCAAAAGTAGCATACTTGAAACAATTTAACTTGAGTCTGTGAGAGTCTTAAGTCTTCTAAGTGTGTTACTGGAGGTGATAAAATTAGTTACTCCCTTTGGTTAGTATTTCTAGGAGAAATTACAGGAGTACCTTAGAATCACAGCATATTTTAGAGGGTCTTTTGAGATCACCAAATGCCTCCTTTTGCTTATTATCTAGAAGCCCAGAGAAGAACTGTGATTCACCTTAAGTCATGTAGCTATGAGGTATGTATGTACATGAGTCACTGTGTCTACTTGTTCACAGATCCTATCATTTTTCTACTTTAACATGCTGCTCTGTTTAACAGGAATCTTTTATTTTGAAATATGAAACATTTTTATTTTAAAAGGAATATATTAAGGAAATCAGATTTAAAAATACAGAATATTGGGGTGGAGGGAGGGGAAGAAAAAAAAATACAGAATGTTTTATATTGAATTTTCCTAATTAAAGAAAAATGGTGTTAATACCACAATCCTAATGAAACTAAGATGATTAATCATTGTTATGTGAGGATCAGTCTAGAACTTTCCAGTACTGCTCTCATGGTTCCTGCCATGTTTTTAACTAGTGCAGAGAGGGCCAGAGTGCAGCTTGCCTTCTCCACACGCCTCACCTATGTACCTGTACTCACCTATATACCTTGCTCTATTAACTTCACATCTTCCTCCCATTGCAGGAAGGCCAGGAAAGTGGATTCCTGCATTAGATAGGGTGTTTAGCTAAATTATCTCTCTAAGATCCAAAGAGGAGCTCCTGAGATGTGATTGTATTAGGCGCTCATGTTGAGGAAGGCAGGGTATGGAGAGAAGCTCGCCCTTGTCACCTGATGCTCATAGTCACTATGGGATGAACTAGCTGTACAGTGAGTTGTGCTGATTTTGGTGATGCCTGGAACCTGGAGGAGGCTCTGTCAGAGTTGCTTATAACAAACCCATCTGTGTCCTCACTGCTCCCAGGCCTCTGTGTGTTCCCATGTGTTCTCATTGGATATTTTGTGGATCTTAGTGAATAATGCTTATCTTCTTAGAGTGTGCCATGTGTCTCATGCCGTGCTCCAACAATGTCCTGGGGTATATACCCTATGGAACTGGTGAGAAGCGAAGGGCTTCCAACCTGATGAGTGGTGTACCTGCAATTTAAGTTTAGGTGTTTTTACTCCAGAACCTGTTGTGTAGATCTTATGATTGATAGTTTGATTATAAAATTGGAAGTATTCTTTGTGATTTGGTTGTCTTGCAGATAAGGAAACTTAAGCCCAGAGAAATGAAGTGACTTCATGGCAGACTTTAGAGTTAGAAGCCAGGACTTCTGTCTCCCAATCCTGTAGCATCATGAATCCAGGAGGCCCAATATACCTGTGGGTGCCCTTTAATACCTGTTACCTTCAAGGGGTTCCTTCTGGATCCCTTAGTTTCAAGGTTAGTAGGTTCCCTCTTCCAATAATCATGAATTTCAAAGGCCACGGCTTTGAAAGCTGGAGTGTTCTAAAGAGCATTTCACTGCTATGCAGTTCAGCCCGTATCTTGTTTGTTCTGCTCATATTTACTTGCTATACCAGTTTTGAATGTGGCACAACTGCTCTTTTGTTCCAATAAGGGTTTTCTGATGCTTACCTTATTTTTCTCATTTTTGTGGTATATTGCTGCCATGAACGCCCTTAACATTTTTTTGTATGTGTATGTATATCTTAACCTTCATAGAAAAAATTCATAGAGGTGGAGTTACTTGGGCAAAGGGTATAGACACTTAATAAGGCTTGGTATATACTTACCTCGTAAGCTTTGGTTAGATGAGAAACTTGTTACCTTCATTCAGGAAT